TATTTGCGTATGTCGCGAACTCTTAATCGGGAATGAGCACGATACGACCTCGACGCTTGTGATACTGGTTGGCGAGGCTTGATTCCTCTCAAGTTCATCGATCTCCGGGGCTTCGGGGGTTCCTGGCCTGTCACCGACAATGATGGAGTCAATATGCCCTGCCTTTGCGATCTCAGCGTAGAAGCTCGTTGGTCCACGAGGGGTCGTCGGGACGTTTAGCTCATCCAACTGGGGTGGTCCTTTGTCGTATTTGACCCAGAAGCTGGGAGTCAAATTCGGGTCACGATGACCTGCGATACCTCCTGGCGTGATGGGGATGTCGGATGCCAACGAAGCGTCAAAGTCGGGTCCATCCCAAAACTGCGAACAGATTCTCCTCCAGCACTTTTTGAGCTCAGGCAGAGTCTTCATCTCTATCTTGTGCGCCTTGGATACTTCAGCCCACTCGTCGACAACATCGTTCAAGAGGTTACAGAAAGAAACGCGCAAGTCGTAGTCGACAACGAAATCGTCCATGAAGTAGTTGAGGATCCAATGCCGGAGGGCAACGAAAGTACGAACACGCACCACCGTCCCCAAGTCACCCTCTCTTGCCAAAGCCCATCGAAGGCGCGCGAACAGCATGGAAAGCAAGTCGTGAGAATCGAGGAACTGTCGATACGTGAGGAAGAAATCAGACACGAGGTCATAGTCCAGAAAGGAGGGCGAGGTAATCTCTGCAACTAGACGAGGGGGCGTAGCGGCAGTTACGGCACCGGTGTTTGGCGAATACCTAACAATAACCCGATCATCGCAGGCAGGTTTGAAGGTCAGTTCGTCGAACATGGCGGGCTCAATCACTAGGTGAGTCGACATGTAGGTTGAGCGCAGCGGCAGACCAGAAGCAGGAGACGTAGACGAGACAGGATTGTCCAAGATATGGTGGTCGCTAATAGCAAAATCCATACCATGGATGGGGCCTGTGCCTGGAGTCGCCGAGCAATTTGCCATGGTGCTGTTGATGCGACGGTCCTCAACGGAGGCGCTGCTTGAGAGTATCTCTTCGGTCGGGGCATATGATGAGCCACGGATAAAGGGCGTTCCTCGAATGCTGAATCTGGGAGTCCCTATCCTCCAGGACGGTATAGCTACTTCCAACAATGGCGAGCTGGTCATGTCCGTATCCTCAACAGTCCTGGGTCGTGTGCCTTCGCTGGGTTGGGTGATGATGACCTTGAAGCCCCCGGTTTCGGGTTCGCGAACCACATTTCCATCGGCAAGGGTTTCTGAATCAGACGCGGCTCGGCGATGTCCTGGCCTTCTAAGACTCCCCAGGTAGTCGCGCCTCGTGATGGGCGGGGTAGGGAGGTCTGGCGTTGAAGTCCATTGGTTGTCGAACATCTTGGTACTTTCTCCAAAAGTGTCATCATTTTCTGAAGATGAGTGCTCCAGGCCAGCTGTGCCGGGCGGTGTCATGGGAAAGACGAAGGGTGGTTGTGGGTAGCGCTGGTTAGCCGGGCGGACAGTTGGCCTACATGATTATCAGCATCGACGGCAGAGACACGGTCATCATGACTGCATGCATGCATACCTCAGGTAAATGCGCCCATTATGCCCGACATTCGCTACGGCAAAGTGTCTCCCCTCGCGTCCTGCAGAGCCTCCATCTGGGGTAATGTCGAAATCGCGACTCCCCTGGCCATATTTCCGCCGTGTACTGGTAGGACTGGCTGTGTCGTTTGATTTGCGCTCCGAAACTGGGAGCAACGGCTTGGGTGTTCCTGAGCCAGTGCCTGGTATAGGGGGTCGCGACTTGGGCGTCTTTAGTCGTTCTGGGCCCGACGAGGCATACATGGGCATTGTCTTCCCTCCATCTTTTGATCGCTTTTGCGAAGGCCTGCGAAACCGCAGATCGCGCAAAGACCTGGTCGCCTGAAGAGTCGAAGATGTCGGGGTGGGAGTGGAATCCGATCGATTTCTCTGCAAGGGTTTTTGCTGTCGAAGTCGTGGGGTTTGTGTTGTTGTTTTTGGGGTGCCCGCAGTCGGAGGAGCCGATGGTGAGTCGGCCTCCATTGCGGTGGCACCAATGGGCAGCTGAATTATAACTCGCGATAGCGTCCAAAACTAGCTGCTACCGTTGTTGTCGCTGGCGACGATTTGGGACGGTATCGAATTCCGAGTCGGTGTCGGTGTCGGCGCCAGCGTGTGTATGGGGTTAGGGACTGTTTCTGGATCGAGATCGGGGCCGTCGTCGTCTGTGGTGAAAAAAAACATAAGGAGTGTTAACGCCTGGTCGCCTGGCCGTTCGTTCTTTCGTCTCGCGCTGCGGCGCTTCCAAGGTTCAAGTTGAAGTTCGTCTCTTCTTCTTTTCTTTTTTACTGTGCGACTTCCCAATCAGCCTCGAACCAGTGGCGGTCTCATTGGCCCGGGCGAGGAAAGAGCGGGAGTATCTCGGTCGGCGAGGCTGTCGTCATAATCGCATTGGAGGAGGAAGGAAGGACATGTCTTGGAAAGCAGCCGGCGGGTGTTGCGCGAGGGACGGCTGACCCAAAATGGCGAAGTAAGGCGAGGGAAAGAAGGGAGGGCGGAATGCAAGTGGGAGAAAACTCGAAAGGAAGGAACCTGGAAGTCACGTACCGAGCGTTGTTACCTGTCCTGGAAATACTGGACAGCGCCATCAAGATTGGACGGTGCACTCTGGTCACACACAGCACGCTATTCCGCGCCTGTAAGTCCAGGTATCTGTACCTAGAGGTACCCAGTCCACCTGCAGGTGCCTGAACAAAATAGGTGATAGGCTCCCCCAGAATGATGTTCACCAGATGGAAACCCTCCAGTCCCTTTGACGCCTATCACGCCAACGGCTATCTTGAGAGGGAGTCAAAAGATGGAGAAATGGAAATGGGTACCTAGAGTTTGGATCGACAGCGTGTCAATCAAGTGGAAGAGCTGGAGGGAGCACTGGGGATTCCAGGGACGTGCAGCTGGAGACCTGCAAGGTGCCTTCTCCAAATCCTCAACCGCTCAAGCCGCCCTTTGACCACGGCTTGCCAAGTGCGAGATTGCTCGCACAAACATGGGGTGAACCGCTGGACAATGCTTGGTCGGCCCAGACACGAGCTTTGAATGGACTGGATGGGGTCACTACTCACTAGACGGGGCTGCCTTCTAGACCTCGCTGGAATGGCTTTTTTTTTTTTTTCAGATTCTTTTTTTTCTTCCTCCTCCTTTCTTGTTGCGCCGACCCAATAGATGGGCTAATTTACATTACAGAGTCTTCCACTTCTTCCTCGCTCCCTCGCTTGTTTTTCCCCAAAAAGTGTTCCTGGCCTTCGCGCGTCAGGGTCAGGGTCAACAGTGAGAACGGGGCTCTGGCCGACAAGGGCACCACGCGTGGGTCCTCTTTCTTGTCAACGGGAAGACGATCCGGTTGGTCCCAGATACGGTTTGCTTCTCCACTTCTGGTTCCGCCCTCGATTCCATTCCCTTTCGACTTCAGTCCGGAATTCAACTCGATTCCCCCGTTTCAACGTCTCTGCAAGCCCGTCGCAATGACTGACAGCTTGGGTTGCGTTCTACAACGTGCCGTGGACTGCCTCGAGACGGCGTACCTGAATGGTGATGCATGACATCTTGCACAGAGGGAGAGAGGCAAGGCACATCGGCCGCATTGAACAAGATCACGACAGGCACAATCCTCCAATCACCAGTCAGCCATTTTCGCTTTCTTCACGATTAAGTCCTGGTTCCATGCACGGGACGGCACCCATTGACGACAACCATGGACCACAAGCGACCATCGAACATGATGGCGACAAAACAAGGTTCCCTGGCTGTCTCGATCGTTCAACCATGCGATTGCGGAGCAAGGGCGGGTCAAATCCGTTCTCCTCATTCTCGCTTCGGGCACTTCATCGGGCTTCAGATAACCACTTCTCTTTCAAAAGACCCTGAAGGATCTTCAACCACTTCAACTTTCTTTTTTAAGGAGCAAGCCCGCCAATTCACAAAACAGTAGCATAAATACTTGCCGGGTAGGTATCTCACGGGAACTCTGTATTCTACCTGCATAGTACATACTCGACATCACACGCGTGCCACCGAGCCCATTCTCTCATCAGTCTTCGAAGCACCAAACACCATGGTACGATGCGATACCCGAGAGCCTGGTTTGCCTGGTCGCCAATGGGTCCTTCCAACATCTTCATTTCCCAATCTGCCGGGTCCTAGGACGTTCGATCGGCCACCAAGGTCTGGGGCAGATGCAATTCCCCTGCCCCACACGCTAATAACAACTTGACTTCTACCCTGAGACAAATACGCTTTTCTTCTCTTTGTATATCGAACCATGCAAGATATTAAGAAACCAGAATATGAAACGCAGGGCGAACGCAAAGTCAAACTTGACAGGTATCGGACAATTAACCAACTGCCACTGGAAGCTCCCGCCAATGCGTGCTGCAAGATGCATCACTTGCAGCGGCTTTTACAGGGTGAACCACTGATGTTAACGCGCAGCTATCCAATACAATCGCTCTTGTTCCTGCAGCGACCATAAGCGGACCAGCAGATCAGTGACAATCATGCCGTCACTCGATTCAGTCCAGTCGCCTATCACCGGATGCCTGTCCAACGACATTCGGCTTTTTTCCTACCTTTCATATATCAGGCTTCTTTACTCCTCCTTCAACTTGTAGAGCCAAGATCTTGGAACTCCGAATACCATCACGTCACACTACTTGACCTTCCGGCACCGTGCTGCCCAATGACGATTAAAAAAGCGTCTACCCGTTTCCTGTTCGACTTTTATCTCGAGCCCCGAGTGAGATCCCCCGAAACAAGCGCACACGCAAACACGGACACAGATACAGACACACGGTTTTGAAAGACATGCCGCACAACGGTAACGGTAACGATCGCGGTCCGCACTCAGATAGTGTTGTGACCCGAGCGAGACTCGAGCGTTTGCTTGTTGGAGAGAAAGTTTCTCGTATAGGCCTCAAATGTGGTGATGGGTCATCATGTCTCGAGCTGAGACCTCCGAGACTTTCGAGACCGTTGTTGTCAGTCAGTGGCTTCGGCTCTTTTGGAAGACTCAACAGCTCGCTACCAGTTCCCCTCCCTTTTTTCCTGTGGTAGGCTCGTTTTTGAACCAGTAGGGTTGGGAGGAAAGGTGTGATGGCAAACCGTCTTGGCGGGTTCTGTATCACACAGCAAAGTCTGGTAGAGCTACTCGACCTCTCGGAGCGCGGAGGTGGGAGGCACACGGAGGCACACGGACGGGAGGGAGGGAAACCGTTTACACCACCACCGGATGTTGAGCCATTTGCGGTTTTGTTCAGACTTCTCATTTCTGTCTACCAGGTATTCTCTACTCGCATTACGTCAATGCCAACGGTAGGTTACCTCTCATCCCTCCCAGAGTTCAGCGCTTCAGCTCATGGCCATGCAAACGATCTCGACCACCTGAGTGGAATGTCACACAGTACCTTTCTGGTGCTCTGGTACCCATCCTTCTTGGCGGACCTGTCGGCAGTTGCAACGGAACGGTTACGGTTTGCTGCAGCCGTTGGAAGACAAGCTCACAAAAACTTCCCAGACAGAGCCTCTTTCAAATCATGCACTATTCACAGGAGTGACAGGATCCCATACACAAACTCCGACGCCAATCTTTTTCACATGCTGAGTTTCTCGGCTGTCCTTCTCCATGATTCCTCTACGCCCTACCTATCCCAGACCCTCCAGAAAACAGTCGTCTCGGTTTCTTTTCTCAGAATCCGGCAAACTCCGGTAAACGGTTAGCGAGTGTAACGGTCTTTGATGAGGTTAGGTATACTTGACCGTTCCAGTGACAAGCCCAGGACCTCCTCCCTGTAAGGTAAAGCTAGTAGCTACTGTAGTTAACTACCAAAACAGCATTCATTCGATGAGGAAAAGAAGGTTCAAATTGCAGAGTGTCGTTGCGTTGGTGGTGTTGATCAAACGTTATTGATGTTGTTATGACGATGACTTCGGGTCAAAGGATGAGGATTTTGAGAGGGTGATGAAGTTGTATTCGTCTACCGGGAGTAGCAATATCGGTAAGGTTACTGACTGGGTGGTCACTTGACAGGAATCACCTCGGATGATACCGAACACTACTACTACAAAGAACCATTCTTTTGCATGTGAAAATTTATTCATCCTCTCAGGACTCCGCAATTCGTGATACTCAGAGAACATCCATCATGTTCACAAAAAAGAGTTAAGGACAGCCGAGACAAGTCAAATCCCGTTGGACTAAGTAACAGTTGACAAAGCTCGCTATAGGTACGCTGCACTGTTTGCATTATAGGATCTCGTCCTGTGGCGGTTGTCAACAAACAAATCGGACCATATCAGTTCAATCGGGTATGGTGTAGCGGTAACATCGTTGACTCTCACTTCCTCAGGAGTGACTGCTCTCTTCTCAACAGCCCCGGGTTCGACTCCCGGTATCCGAGTCTCTAACAACATCTTTTTTCGCAACTTTTTGTTCTATACATATTGATTTTTTTGTCGATTGTGCATGATGTTTTTTTTTTCTCTTTTCTCTTCTTTACCTTTCTCAATAGCCTACCGTAAAAATCAGCGACGGGCTCTGTTTATTTAGAGGTCTTCCTTCGACTTATTTACTCAACTTCTATTTTTGCGCAATTCTATTTTGCGCAAACTGGAGATGTTATTTTTGAACTAGAACATTCTGAATCTTCATATCACATGGATGGAACTTGATGCTCGTTCAAGCGTAGATGTGGGCTCTTGGACGTCGTCGCATGACCACGAACACAATATCAGTCACAAACCAGTCAGACATACTTATAGTGATATCAACTTCTCGTTATCGAATCCATATCCAACATATCAAATCTCATTTAAAACCCCTAGAAAATTCGACAAAAAGCCGTGGGCAGATAAACTTTGTGGTAGTGAACTGTACAAGAGGCTCAACGGAATCTTATTACTGGGGGTTGATAACATGAAATAGAACCAAGTAGACACTATCATTCAGCCCATTAGTGGAACCTGGAATCAAGAGGAATATTAATGCATGATCATCACACAAGAGTCAATAGATCAGACGAGCGGCCACGTTTGATGTATCCTCATACGCGGGGGCAACACTCAAAGCAAGAGCGAAACAGCAACAAGAAAGTGGTGGTTCTATTAACCTATGCCCAAAACCTATCATCCTCTATATGAAAGTCGTCCACCTCCTACTACGGACGTCGCCATTTCTACAACATCTCAAACTCCCAAACACCCTCACCCTCACCCTCTACCTCTCCCTCTAGGCTCTACCTAACATTATACCTGGCAATCAACCCCGCCATCTTCTCCACGAACCAGCCCTTAGGATCGGGACTCGTATCCGCGCTCTCCGCCACCGTCAAAATCGTCCTGACACCCACACCCACGCTATCCGACCCGGTATACTCCCGGAGGGTATTCAACACCTCTGCGATGGCCGCCTGATCGCCACCAAATGCTCCGACCTCGTTCAACACCGCGCCCAGCTCCTGGAGGTTGTTCACGGCGGGGACGGCAATCTGGTAGTCGAACGACTCGGTCACATCGAGTTGTTCCATGACGGTACGCTGCGAAGTCGTGGCGAGGATCAAGAGGCGGTGGCCCTTGGGTGGCGGGGTGACGAGAAGGGTGACGAGGGCCTGGAGGATGGTGTTGGACAGGCGCGGGCCGACGGGGTTCCATTCGATGATGCGCTCGAGATTGTCGATGATGAGGAGGGAAAGCGGGGACTTGTAAGCGTCCGTAAAGATCTTGTGCAGGTAGTCCTTCTTGGCGACCTCGTCGCGGAAGCCGACCATGTCGGAGGGCGTGATGAACTTGATGAAGGGGAAATCGGACTTCATGGCGATGTGGGCGGCCAAAGCGGTCTTTCCGGAGGCCGAAGGACCGTGAAGGAGGACGGTCATGTGCTTAAGGCGCTCGAGCTTGCGCACGTTGTTGACGTAGAGCATGCCATCCTCCAGGATCGAAGTGATGCTCTTGGAGTAGTGAATGACGCCGTAAGCCAGGTGTTTCTCGAGCTCGGACTCATCGGCGCCGAAAGCGGGCTTGACTTCTTCGAGGGCGTTGAGGAAGTCTTGATGGTTGACCTTCATGTTGGCCACATCTTCAGAGACGCCAGCCATGGTGCCGACTTTGATGTGTCGGGAGAAGGCGTACGAGGTGGCGGACTTGACGAGACCGCTGAGCTCGGCACCGGAGAAATTCTTGGTGAGAGTGGCGAGCTCGGCAAGGTCGACGTCGTCATCCATGACCTTGTTCTCCTTCATCTTAGAGGTATGGATCTTGAGAATCTGGCTACGGCCATGCTCATCGGGAAGCGAGATTTCGATTTGGACCTCGAGACGACCGGGACGAAGCAAAGCGTCGTCGATCATGTCCTTACGGTTGGTCATTCCGATAAGGAGGATGTTGTTGAGCTGGTCGACACCGTCGAGCTTGGAGAGCAGCTGGTTGACGACGCTGTCACCGACACCGGTGCCGCCGCCAGCACCAGAGCCTCTCTGCTTGCACACGGCGTCCAACTCATCGAAGATGATAATGTGCAGGCCGGACTCGTCTCCCTTCTCCTTGTACTCCTTCTCGGCATCGGCGAAGAGCTTACGGATGTTCTCTTCAGACTGACCAACATACTTGTTCAACACTTCAGGACCGTTGATGACCTTGGGTTCCCTGGCGTTGAGCATCTTGCCGATTTGTCTGGCAATCAGGGTCTTGCCGGTACCAGGAGGACCATAAAGCAACATGCCCTTCACGTGCATGATACCGAGCTTCTCGATGAGACCAGGAGGGAAGATACGAGAGGCGAAGGCACGACGGAAAATGGTGGAGAACTCGGTATCCAAGCCACCAATACCCATATCCTCGAACTTGAAGTCCGGGGCGATGATAGCGTTGGCCGCTGGGCGCTTGTTGGAGCCCTTGAGCTTGATGGGTGACCTAGCATCCTTGTAGAAGCCAATGCTGGCCTGGTTGGTGAGAATACCGCGTGCTCCAGGGTCACTGCGTGTGGGAGCCTCGCCCGATCCGGCCATGGTCAGATCAACCAGAGTGACAGTCTTGACCATGACAGCCAAGGGGATATTCTTAACGTCGAGAAGGAACCTCTGACCAGGAGCAAAGATCTGGTTCTGGAAGGTCTTGACGAAGATCTTGGCCAGCTCATCCTGGTCATAGGGGGTATCGATGATTCTGTTGGCTGACGCAAATCCGATCTCGACATCCATGGAGCCAATGTAGGCGTCGCCTCCACGGGCAAAAGGATCGTAGACCTCTCCCATCAACTCGTCCATCATGCCGACTCCGCACCATGTTCGCTGAGGGTCTGACAAGCTAATATGACCCTGACGGAATCCGGGGGTAGGGCGTGCCGTCACGACGTAGTCTCCTCGTAGTTGTCTTCCTGTCAAACGGATGTATAGATCGGAGCCGTCACGGTTCGGGGGGAAGTCGTCGGGCGATACGGCGCAACTATAGTCCAAGGTTAGTGGCTTGAATCGCCTGACGGTAGGGCGCGTAGGAACTCACATGTTGCCAAAGATGTAGAGACTCTGCAATGTCTTGTCATCAACTTTTGCGAGTCGAAGAGGAACACCGCGGCCGGCTGACTGAGAAGGGTATCCGCCAGGAGCGGGCTGTCCGCCATAACCGCCGCCGCCGCCGCCGCCGCCATAGCTCTTCTCGGATGGCGCACCTCCGTATCCGGCACCACCGCCGCCACCAGAGTATTGGGGTTGAGAAGGAGCGCGACCACCTGGGCTGCCGTAGTTGGACGGTGGTGCGCCGCCGCCGTATCCGCCTCCCGCTGCTTGTTGAACGGGACGGCCGGGGAGACCAGCTCCTCCTTGTGGGGTTTGGGGCTTCTTGCCAAAGAGATTGCCTCGAATATCCATGGTGACTTGTTGTGTAGATTATAAGTTACGAGTATCGAGGAGTAGGATGGGCGTGTAAATCGGGAGAACCAGTCGCCCTTGGTGGTGTATCTATAGTTGTCGTCGGAGTGGGTTCGCCGCAAGTAGACACGTTGGTATGTTGGTTCGGCGATTGATTGCTTTGAATCGACGTGTACTTTCGCAGATGGCAAAGATGGTGGTGTATGGCGAGATGTATGTTTATGCAAAGCAAAACAATCTATATGGTAATGAGCCTGATCCTGCGATTGAGCTTCAGTTCGGTGTTTTGTTGAGAGGGGACGTCTGGGCTGTTGTGTCAAAGGGAAGGCGAGCTCCCGCTGTCATTGCGTGGTTTCAGCTGTGTCCCACTGACCTTGTACAAGATATACGGTTGACAGCGGGTATTTTGATGCGCATACGGTCAAATTACTTGTAATAGCACCCCTGCCTCAGGTACTGGAAGCGCTAATTCAGTGGGTCCCCGGACCTTGTCCCCTGGCGGCCAGACTCGCCCCTGATCAATGTACGTCAAAGAGCGGGGCACGTGTTGGCCGGCTGGGCGGGTACCAGCAATTGTCAGATGAAAGGTACTTCTACCAATGTGCCGTCGCCGTCAACATCCCTCACATAAAAAGAGAGAGAACCGTTTCATTATATGTGAATATCGATATGCCTCTGTGAGTAACGTCCTGCTCTTGGACGTGCGAAACTGTACTAACAACATCACAGCCACCTGCTCGGCAAAAAATCATGGAATGTCTACAACACAGACAACGTCGCCCGCGTCCGCCGTGACGAGGCCGAGGCCCGTGCTCGCGAGGAAGCTGAAGAGCAACGCATGCAACAGGTCGACGCGGAACGTCGTCTAGCCATTCTCCGCGGTGAAGTCCCGCCGCCACTTGAGGAACCGCCAGCAGCAGATTCCAGCAATCATGGGCGCCGTCATCGTGAACGTGACCCTCTGACGGAAGGACGCAAACGCAAGCGTGCAGGCGAAGATGACACCGATTATGAAATGAGGGTAGCGCGAGAACGTGCCACGGCAGGGGAAAGTGCGGCCAGGGAGCTGTCTGGCCCAGTGAAGTCGACTTCCATCACCACTGCATCGCTGGTCGATAGCAGGGGTCATATCACGTTGTTTGCTGAAGAGGAGCTGAAGCTGGCAGAAAAGGACGAGAAAACAGAGACAGAAGCATCAAAGAAAAAGCGTGAGGAGGCGGAGCAGCATCAGGTACGCTTTACCAGCGCGGCGGGCAGGGATGCGGAAGGCTTGCTAGCGAAGAACGGCCCCTGGTATGCGACACCAGATGGGGACGTTGCTGCGTTGGTTCCATCCAAGAACGTGTTCGGAAAGGAGGATCCAGGACGGAAGGCTCGTGAGGTGGAAAGACTGAGTGCCAGTGATCCGCTTGCGATGATGAAGAGGGGTGCCAAGATGGTGCGCGATCTTAATAAGGAACGGGAGCGGGAGAATGAGGAGAGGGAAAGAGAACTGAAGGATCTGCGGAAGGAAGAGCGGCGACGGGAGAAGAGAAGGCGAACAGAACACCGCAGGGAAAGACATGATAGTAGGGAGCCTGGTGACGAGTCTGACCGCGGGAGGTGGTCTCGGTCAGAAAGGCGGGAACGAGACCATCACCGAGACCGATCGCGAGATAGAGACCGCCACCGTGAGCGTCGCCATGACCGCGACAGAGATCGTGAACGGGGTCGCCATCATGAGGAAAGGGAGAGAAACTGCGACGGAGAACGAAGTCGTGAGCGTGAAAGAGACAGGGAAAGGAGAAGAGATCACTCTCGTGACAGGCACCATAGACGGTCTAGCAAGGAGCGGGACGACCGCGAGCATCGCAACCACAGAGATCGCGATGGTCATGATGGTAAGCATGATCATCATCAACATCATCACCGATCAGAAAGGCCGGGTGACAAGGACAAGCCAAGACATGGAAGAGGTGATCGCACATAACATCCTCATCTTTTTCCAATTTCCAACGTTTGGAACATAAAACCCTAGCGTCAACATTAGGTAAATAGTGAACAAGATACCCAAGACAAATATTATCCATTACCTCCCAACCAAACACCAATGCCCAAACACTGTATCCCAATCCCACCCATCCCATCACCTCTCCTTCCAAGGCAAACTAATCGCCACCTCCCTCATATCCCTCTCCACCATCTCCCTCAAACTCTTCGTTCCCTCCCCACCCTCCTCCAGCATCTCGTTCAAACTCCCCAAAATCTCCTCCACCAGCTCCTTACTCCCCCCTTCCTTCCGATCACTATAAACATCCACCCCTTCCTTCGTAAACAGCGTCGGCGCAAACCACGTAACCACCCACCTCTCCTGTACCTCCCCCGTCTCCTCATTTTTTCTCTCCCCCCACCCCAACACCTCCCAATGACTGCTCACAAAAAACAACCACCCCGACCCGCGCCAGTCCCAACTGGTAGTGTCATCTTTGATATTTGCCAAGTCCCAGTTGCCTGTGTCGATTCCCGCGACGGTCTTGACGCCCCCTGAACCGGAGAGGGATTCGTATTCGACTAGGTCGTCTAGGCGTGGACGGCCGTCTGAGGTGGTGGGAGACAAAGGTTTGTAGGTGATGCGCACGTTGCGGGCGGAGCGCCACATGGAGAGGGTGGAGTGGGTTACGGACCAGGTGCGGTGGAGGAAGTCGAGGGGTGGGAAGGGGATGGTTTGTGGGGGTGGGGAGGAGCGAGAGGGGTGGGAGTATTTGTAGGGGAGGCGGAGGGTGACTTTCATGCCGGAAGAGGTGGTGGGCGGTGTGGTGGCCATGGTTTGGTTGATGAGGCGATGGTCGATGGTTAAGATGACAAACTTGATTATTGTTGTTGAAGGTTGATATAATGAGCAGAACTGATGGATGAAACGGGCTGGTCCTATATATGTGCGATTCTGGGATGAGAGTGAAGTTCAAGGGTGGAAGAGGTTTGATGTCTTGATGATGTTGGGTCGGGTCAGCTGAAACAGTGTGAAATGGTACGCTACTACCGATTGGTTCACTGGAAACACAGGGATGCTTGAGTCCCCTGCCTTGGTCTGGATATCTCAGCATCCTCCAGGGTATAGACCATTTATCAGATGGAAACGGTGACTGGAGATCTCATGGGATTTTCGACATAAGAATTGGAATCAAGAAAACTTCCAACTGATAGTCGTCCTGGCGTCTTGCCCGCGTCAAACCCAGACACTTCAGCTTTGACCGAAGAAGTCATGGAGGCCAGTGCTATGTATCGGGTCAGCCGTCCTACCGGTCACCCTTTTCTTGTTTTCAACACTCTTCCCGTCCTGTCATATCTCACCGACAAGGTGATCTTTAACCGCATCGTCAAGAGCGGTTCAGGTAAGATGTCATACCGTAGGATTTGATCACAGTCAAGTCCAGAAAAAGATCAGCAGTTGAAAAGTGACAAAACTCCAATCGGGAGGGTGACATTCCGAGACAAGGGTTCCATTCATCGAGGTACCCAATTCGGCCTTAGCGCACGCATCCACCCAATCCACTGTGTGCGGCTGTTCTGTTTTAGGCTTTTAGCGGGGAACGAGTGGGGCCCCACAAGGCTGATTCAACGACATGTCTTGACTCCACCTTTTGATCTGTAGAGGTAGTTCTTGATCTTCTTGGCGCGCGTTGGGGCTTGGTCATTTTCGACTTCACATCGACTTCTTCCACTCGTTCACAGGGGACAATCAATGACAAACCAAGGGTGAAAAGGAAGTGGCGATTTAACATCGTACAAAGTGTTATACAGAACTTCGAATTCGAATCACCCTGACCGGAAACATTGCGCTCAGATTTTGACAGGTTCTCAAAATTGCGTACAGCAACTCAACCTCAACCTCAACCTCAACCTCGACCTCAACCTCATCATCAACACCCCCATCTCACTCCATCCACCCGCCGCACCCCCACCCCACCACTGACCAACTCACCTCACCCGAATTCCAACCACCAAAATGACTCAACCACCCTCCGACAACACCACCAACACCAACGACGATGAAATCTTCGCCGACGTAGAGGCGGAAGCAGCCGCCATGGCCGCAGCAATGGGTTTCTCCTCCTTCGGCCAACAAGCTCCCCTTGCCGGAGACTCCGATGCCGACGAAACCTCTGCTGCTGATCCTAACGGACGTCCCTCTAAGAAACGGCGCTACAACTCCCGCGTCGACGCCTACGTCGGTCCGACACCACAGGGTACGGGGGCGAATGACGTCCCTGTTCAACGGAGGGTTTTTGCTTCCAAGAGTGAGAAGGAAGACAATGTTGGGGATGAGAACGAGATCAACCTCGACATCGACGACAACGACAACGACAACGACGAAAATCCCGCTGCCGAGGCTTCATCGACTACCACCACCATCACGCTTCCAATCAACCCATCTCTACCACCCAAACCACCGCAAATCCAAGTGTCGAATCACGGCTTCAACAACAACAACCTTCACAACCAAAGAGGTGGCCACAGTGGCCACGGCGGACGAGGTGGTCGCGGCGGCGTCGGCGTCGGCGTCGGCGGTAGGGGTGGACATGGCGGTCACGGTCACGGACGCGGCGACCCCTCGAAACCTTGGTACACCGATTACTACGACCCATCAAGCAACGAGAACCCCTGGGAGCGATTGGAGCAGCAGCGCGGGATGGAAGCCGTGGGGAGCTGGCTACCTAGTCGGTCTGGAGGTGGCGGAGGCGGTGGCCGTCGTGGAGGGCTCGGGTCTGGGTCTGGGTCTGGGGCTTCTGGTTCTCAGCAGGAGGGTCAGCCGGTCGTATAAGCTGTACCTACTGTACAGCAGGGGCCTTATGTGGAGGTGAAGGCCCTTCATCACTTCTGGTGCACCGACATGATGCAATGTGGATGGTGACGATGATGGCGATGGTGACGATGGTGGTGATGGTGATACAGGAGGAGACGCCGATATCAGTATCGAAAGTCCAAGCAGGGGTTGAAGCTGAAGCTGAAGGTGAAGCTTGGAGTGCGCGCGCCGACGGTCGATGTGTGGCTCCGCTGCTGCTCATGCTGCTGCTCTGCCTGCTGGCAATGTTTATGATTGCCATGGCAGTGGTGGTCAGAGCCATACCAGTTCCATCTGTCAGTTAATCGGTTGGTTTGATACCCTAGTTCTTTATTCAACAAGTCGTGTTGTTCTTATGTTCCCTCCTCAACATCCGCATTGGTCATTCACTTCTCAATACCCCCTTCCTGTGGATGGTATCTAGTTTGTCTGGTGCCTACCCAGCTCCTGTGGGATGTCTGATGGATGTCATCTGAGTCGGGGTAGTCCATGGGTGGGTGATGAATGGTGTCTCTATGTTGTACAACACTTCACTCACTTACCTACACTACCTAAGGGTATGTGTGGTCGCATCACATGAGACTATCCATCATGAGTTTTCCTTTGTCAAGGTCATGTCTACTTCCTGTTACTTTTACTTTCCCTACCTTAAGGTACTCTCGCACTTGCCTATCCACCTTCACACATCACCCATCATTATCATTCATCCAGGGGAGAGTCATCTATAGACCACTCGGCCAAGTGCTCTCCCTACCCGGACCCGGACACTTTCCTACAAAATACACGGTCACAGGTCACGTCACGACACCCACCTCAAGACAAAAAGATCTTTTAACTACCAAAATCAACATATGAAGAAGACTACCTCAAAAACGCCTAGCCAAGACCCGAGATACTATATCCAAAGAGAAGATCAAGCCACAAATTCCACGAATCCTACCCCATTGCCTGTCTGGTACAGGCAAACCCGGCTAGATACAGAAGAGCCATGAGCCATCCACCATCCACCAACCACCCATCACCCCACTGCCTCACCCGAGCAGCACCAACATCTACTCTATGGAGCTTAGCCTCAAGGGGCAATAGTCCCCCCCACTGTCAGAGGGAACATAGGTACCCAGTCAGCCGGCACTTCTGTCCACACTGTCCGTCCGTATCTGGGGACTGGGTGGTCCGTTTTCCTTATGCCGAACGGTCCCCAGACACGTGCCAGATCAAGCCAAGAAGCTGACAAGCCGCCCAGGATAACGGACAGAGGAGGGTGTCAGGCCGGTAGCAGTGGGTGTGTGGAGCTCCTCGCGGGTCTCGGAGTCGTTTTCCGAGTATTTTGGACGAATAGGCAGAGCAACCGTCACTGTCGCTCCCGCTGCCACGCCCATCGTGCTCACACACCCACCACCACACCGGCAGTAGCCATCACATCCTGCAGCCCTGTCGGGCTTGTGTGTTCTGCAGCGACTCGGATCTCCCCTCCCACGGCAAGTGTCTTGCCCCTGCGTCGTCACCTTCCCAAGGATCCGGATTCCCACCCTCCATCTTTGTGAAAAGAAAGCCAAGAAAATGGAGGGGGGTGTGAGTGTGCCTGGTGCCTGGATGCGGCGTCTAACCCAACCCATATAATATCCAGGAAAAGAAAAGGCCCCCAAGGAAATCCCAAAAAAACAGTCCAATCAAAGAAACTGGGCATTTTTTCGAAACGATGTGGTCCGTGGTAAGGGAAGAGCAGGGGGGGCGTGTAGTTTGAACGAGGAAAACGCCGCAAGCTGCACGTCTTGACGCATTCCAGCCCAACCTAACGACCACCCCCGTCAACCGTAAACCTGACTCCGTTTTTCCCTGTCTCCGCTGGGCGTATATCGCGGCTAAATTTGCCGCGTCTCATATGGTTTTTCCAACGTCATCTCTTCCGCAAGGCTGAGAATTCCAAAAGACCTCCAGGACATTTTCCCGTTTTGTGCAAAAAGTAAACATGAAAAAGGGGTATGTGCAAGTATAATCCCTATGTGCTGAATCCGAAGAAAAGAAGATGAAGGGAAATAGTTTTCAGATGCAAATGTGACCGCATTGGTTTAGAAAGCATCCGGAGAGGGGTGACGTGCGCGCGCCTTGCTGTACTCCTTGGGGTGCTTCTTTGCCGCCTTGGCTGAAAGAGCTCTGTTTCGAAGCAGTCAGTTCCAAGTTCGCTCTTTCTTTCTGATTCTCGGAAATCAAAACTCACGTCACTTTCTTCTGTGTCCACTCGAGGTCTTTCCGCACCGCCTGGGCATCTTCAAGCCCCTGGGCAAATCGCGCCCTTGTCCTCGCAAGACGTGCTTGTGCCTTGGCCTGCAGTTCGAGGACCTCGCGGTGCTTTGCGTTCAGACCGCCAGAGCTAAAGTGGATCCGATTAGTAAATAGTCCAGGAGAACACAGCCTCTCCGGTCCGGAAACAAACTCACATCTTGGCCTGCTCGACCGTCAAGCGGTCAAGAGGGATGGGCGAGAACGTATCCGCAAATCGATCTTGCATGTACTCGTTCAGATCGATACCACTCGCAGATCCCGCGCTCTCGTAATCTCCCTGGCTGCTTCCAGCGTAGGTAGAGGCGGGAATGGAATAGGTGGAATGACCCATGCCAGATCCGGAAGTCACTGACGGATCGGATTCCTCAGGAGGAGAGACGGAGTAGTTGCTGTCATTGCTGTTGTAGTAGGTAGGATACGTGGGGTACTGTCCCTTTCCGGAAGGAATGGGAAGCGCGCCAGTAGCCGCGTGATACTGGGTAGAGTAGTTTAACGACATGATTGTGACTGTGTAATGTGTGACCTGAATGCGGAAGACGTCACTGTGGTGGTGGATACCAAGAAGAGGTATGACGGCTTGTGCGTTTGTGGGGTTTCCCCAGGTTCGGATGAGGACTTGTGGGTATTGGGATGTGGATTGATGCAGGAACTAGACTGGGAAGAGTCAAGTAATGGGAAGACAAGGCCAAGTGTCAAGATAGTTGCCAAAAGTGTCTGAGTGTAAACAAGGTCTTCAAGAAGGTTCTGGGTCTGGATCTGAAGACTGAAGATGTGATGGAGAAGGAGAAAGAAAAACTCAACTACTCTGGTCAACAACAACCCCCTTTTATACCTTTCTCAACCTCCCCCCTGTCGACAACTTCGAGCCATCATGATCTCGAGAGATAAGAGTCGGTGACTCTATTCGTGGACAGGCCTTCCTTGACCCCGCTTGTAAACCGGCAGGAGATAGGATCAGGTTGACAGGGACGGGGATGGTGGTGACGACGATGGACTAGTTTCGATAGTGCCTGGCCTGTCATCCACTCTTCTGCCGTGGCGATATGTCCAACGAGCATGAGGATGGCAAAGCCGATGGGGTGATCCCTGAAGCTTTCGACCATGAAGGAAGGCTCGCATTCGCCTGCAGGTGGATTTCGAATGCTCAGAGAAAGGCAATGCATATGCCGAGAGGCAACTATCACCGTTTGTATTGGTGGACCCGGAGTGATGGAGGGAATATCAAGTGAGGATCCTGTCAGGTTTTTCCAGATTCACACCGCATGTAAGTGACAAAGCAAAGGACGGTCCGGAAAGACATCCAAAGGGCGAACGAAGCACCAACGGGGAGGCCGAGCTGGGATAAACGGGGAGCTAGAGGATCGATAATCAAGTCCAGAACGGAGCACAAGGGCATGTGGAGGGGCGTGTGTGCAACAGGTTGTCGATAAAAGGAAGCAGGCATCGGAGGCATAAGCCATTGTAGGTAATAAGCAAGGGGTGCTCTGGCCAGAATTCAGGCAAGGATAGTTCGGGTATGAGGAATGCGTGAGTTGTTGACGGTGTATGACAAGCCGGTGGGCAATAGAAAGTGAGTGTCGGGCCTGATATTCTACCAAAAAAAACATTTCTGTGAGGATGAGTAAATTGTACATAGAGAGATGTATCAGACTTGCGCTGGCCAACTGGAATCGATCTGCACCATGGTACGGAACACGGGTCGGGAAGCAATACTAAGGCACCGGCTTCTTCATAAGCCGCTTCCGTGTACATGGTGCACTGTGTAGGTTGGGAGAGCTTCCCACTTGGGAATTGGTGACGAACGAAACAAGCGCGCTCGTCCGTTAACGCTAGCCACATGGCAAAGGTGCTGTTGGATTCGTCAGCTATAGAACCGTTTTCGTTGGTAGGAGCGATGTTTGAGTTCAAACGGAGGGTGCGAAAAGGTGGGTAAGGCAGTGATGCAGGGAATCGGGTGAGCGATGTGTTGTTCAAAATGTCTGCATCATAATTTTCCCCCTCTCTTCCTCGAGATTCGGATTTCTCCCATTTTGCTCATCTGATTTCTTGGCCTGACATCCGTACCTTTTCAGTGTTCCAGGAGCGTTCTGTTTGGCCTGTGGTTCCCTTAGCTTCGTTCTTTTCTCCCCTATAAGAGAGCGGGAAAGCCAGCAGTACCTTACTGTAAAACTAAACTCAATTCCGAGAATTGGGATAATTCCATTGGTTGGAACGGCGAGACCCCCCAACCATTCAGGCTGACTTGACCCTACAGCAATTGGTTGGAGACGTCCAACAGGGCATTGCTCGCATTGTGCCGAACCTTGGGCAAGACAGCATAGGTGACATAAGTTGGGTCCCGATGGAAATGTCCGAGACATATATACCCAAGTGTTTGACGTCGGGTCAAAAATGACAGAACAGCATTGTCTTTTGGGCCTTGCAGAAGTTCAGGTACATATTGAGATTGTAGTCAACTTCCAGGCTTTTCTTGAAGGTACTGGTCTGCTTGAAGAACCTCACAAACTGTTCTCGTAGGATATTGTGTCGTTATATGGACCGTGGGAGTGAAGCCTCTATGCGGGTCTCAGACGCTGTGATGTTCAAGCTGTTTTGCCTTGCCTAGATGACATGCCGAGGAAGGTTTCGGGAGCCTCCAGCCGTGACAGTTGACATGAGTATGATTCAGAAGGCCACGCAGTTTGACAAGAAGCGGTGCGCTCCATTGCTCTATCCCTGGAGGTCCAGACGAACTGCAGAGATCCAGGGGCGGATGCGTGTGCCGGTCCGTCCTGTGAGGCAACTCCGCGAGGTGACATGTACGACACAGTCAACCCATGTAGGTCAAGGGTAAACCGAAGAAGACATTGAGGCACTTGCCCGAAGGTTCTCATAAGAATCTGAATTGTGAATAAAGGTGATAGAACGAGAACGTGAAGGCCTGAAACCCCCTTACTAGAAGAGACATCCATTGACTTCCAAAGATAAGTAATGGTCCTATCTAGGAATTTCTAAATGTCTTGGAAGCCCAGCGGAGGATAAAGCCCAGTCAGGAAAGAGGCGTCCGAGAGGTCCGGGATGTAGACCGAACCGAACTTTGACGCCTACTGCAGTTCCTTGAACCGTTTTCATCCCGCGTCCCCCAACCACAGTCGGTTTTCCAGACAGTGATTCTAGCCAGAAGGTACCTCGATAAGGTGGGGAAGGAGCATGACTTGCAAAGCATGCGAAGACGTAGCTAGTGTGGTTTTGCCGTCCACCAACAAGAAGCCAGAAGCCATATGGTGTGCTGTCGTCGGGCCACTCACTTGAAGCGCCATCAACCCGGACCCTGCTGGCATCAGAGAAAGGCAAAGCTAGGCCGGCCCAATTCACCTCGCATGGCTGATAGCTGGAGCCGTTTGGGTATGCGAACTTGCGCCCCCGCGAAAACAACCCCCAATGGCGACGCGGGGCATTGCGTCAGAAGTGCCGGTGGAAGTGAAGAGTCCAGCTCAATGGTCAGCTAATCCAGTTGGGAGGAGTGGAGGCGTGGAGGCGTGGATGAAGTCTGACAACGAAGAGCTTGAACGTTGCAACGATGAACCGGTAGAAGAACAGGTACCTGGGCTGGTATGTGACATGACCCGTGGATGTAGGTATGCAAACGGTGTACATACGTACATGACTTCCCTTCGTGCCTAATGCAGGCTCGGGAGGGCAGCAAGGGGACAACGCATCAAGCCTTCCTGCACGTTCATGGCATGGTGCGGCGCAAAGGCGTATCGGTGCAGGGAACGACGACGGCTGGTCGTTGCTGGTGTTCGAGAAGGAAAATGGGTTCCGCGGCTGGATGTAGCCTGTGTGGGGACATTTGGGGACATGGAACAGCGAAAATGTAACCTCAGTGTTTGAGTGGAATTAGGGAAATGCAGTCCGACCAAACTTGCGCCGACGACTGATGACTGGGCACGATTTCATAGGATGAAAGATGCCATAGCCGGAGCCCCAAGGTGCCTGCTGAGAGAACCATGCCGGAAAACGTACATGAAGCGTACATGAGGTGCCAAATCCGCGCCCGGGGGTATGACGGGAAAAGGAAGGAAAAGAAACAAGCTTCCTCTTTGTGTCTTGTGTCGTGACGAGGTTGTTGTTGAACTCTCCGTTTCCAAAGCAGGCATTGATGATTGAGTGATGATGATGACTGCTGGCCCGTCTGAGGGGAAAAAATGATAGTGGATGGCAGCCCAGCTGCATGCTTTGTTGTCCAAGGCAGATTCATTCGGCTTCTAAGATTTCGTCAGGAAAAAAAAGAGAAAAAAAAAGAAACGTCAATAGTAACCGTGGATAAGGCCAAACCGTATGAAAGCGAAGAACTCTTTTGCCGCTCGCAGTTCGTCTACCAATTGCTCGTTCCTGTAGACGTCCGCGCAGTTTGAAACGGCTGGTTTGCAGGCAAAGCCTCAGCAGTTCGCAGTTCGTGCTAGAGAAATGCGGCTAGGGCTTTTCGGTCCATGAAAACTCGCGAATCATATCGATCGAAAGGTTACCAGGCGTGACATGATATCCGGGCCATTCGTGGACAATATCATGTCGTGTAATCTTGGGAAGAACGATGTCGGAGGATCACGAAGGCTTGGTAGCCGAAGGTGTAAGGTTACGGTAGTGAAGTGCGTGTAGAGAAACAAAGTGTCAGATTCAAGGGTGGGGATTCTGGCTAATTCGTTGAGGGTTAGATTCCTAGCCACCTGATTAAGCCTAATTCCTGGGCATATCTGGGCTACCCTAGCACTCCCTATACCTTCTAGAGCGCTCGCTCGAATTAGCTATATATACTCTTTAATTAATTAATTCTGTACCGTTTAATTTGATAATTAATAGTTTGATTTGCGTATTTACGTTCAATCGCGCTACGATAATAAGCAATATCCCTATGAAAAGCTCAACCGCTAACTTACTTTTAAATAACTATATCTTTATTAAAAGAATCTACTGATAAGATTGTTATAGTTATCCTTAAGTCGCCTAACGATTGGCCTAGCTAGTATAAAGCTCTTAAGAGATTCGTTAATAGTAATTAAAAGTTTGGTAATTGGTTACTTAAGGGAGGACTTATAATTTATTAAGTTTTACCCTTTAAGCCGAAAGACTTTTTCCTTACGAAGTAGGCTAAGGACCGCCTTTTGGCGGTAAAGAAAGAGTTCGTTAAATTTAATTATAGAATCCGAATTAAGAAGGTTATAATTATTATTACGATAATTACTATTATTATTATTACCAATATTAATAATACGAATATTAATATTATTATTGAAATTATTATTATTATTTAAATTTAGTAAGAAGCTGTTAAAAGTGTTAACGATAAAGAAGTAGAGGAAGAAGAAAATAAAGAGGAAGAGGAAGATAAATATTATATTAAATAGGATATTCTAGAGGATATAATTATTAATCCTACCGTCGGTTTAATAATTGCTAGGAAGGTAGTATATAATTAATTTAATAATACGTATAATACCCGCTATAAATATTAGAAGGATTTTAATAACGCTAATACCCGAATCCGTAATTAAATAAATATTTATATTGCCGCTTATTATATTAATTCTTCGTTCGAATAAGATTAATTCTTTAAAGATTAATTTAGAGAAATTAAGGGTTAAATTAATTACCGTCCTATTAATTAAATGATTAAAATTTATTATAATTATTAAACTTTTATTAACGAGACTTAGAAGAAGGTTATTAAAGATTTTGAATAATAATTATCCGAATAGGAGATTTTTATAATTATTTGAAAACGTTTTAAAATTAGCGATTATTCTATCCCCACTTCGTAATTTACCAATTTCGTCGATATAATCTGGCTATATAAATTTATTTGGGTAGTAAATTTATAGAAGTTTAATACCGAATTTGAAAATAAAGTTTTAAATTATAAGGACGTATCCGTTAATTTTAAAAAGGTCGGTATTCGGAAATATATTATCGTTGTAGTTAGATTTAATAAGAAGGTTATTATGTACGGCGCTTAAGTTACTAATTATTTTAGTTCGTCAAAATTTGTATTGGATAAGGAGGACGCTTTTAATTTTAATTATAAAAAGAAATAGAAAGTAAATATAAAGAAGAAACGCGGAGCGGATAAAAATATTAGAAATTTTCTATAGCCGAAAAAGAGAGTGAATTCTTTATTATAATATAAAATTTAGGCATAAAGACTTTATTTAATAATATATTATTAATGTTTAGTATTTAAAATTAAAGATAACCTAAAGTAGAAGCCTGCTCCTTTAATTTAAAAATTTATTAACGAAAATTTCAAAAAGTATTTAGAAATTCGTAAGAAGGTCGAGAAAGTTAAAAATTAAATACGGGACCGTTTTATTATTTCTACGTATAATATTATTACCGCCTCTAAATAATAAAGGAGATGAAAAATCGATACCTACAATTTAATATTTTTTATTAAATAAAGTACTTTTAATATAGGTAATAAAGGGGAATTTTACCTTCTTAAAAATTTTAATATTTTCGATTTTAGTACTTCCTTTTATATTTTTAACGAAATTATTCGTTTTTTTTTCGTTTCGAGTAGCGTCTTTAAAGGATTACGTTTAGGCTGGTAATTTTTAAATACCTATTAAGGGTTTTAAAATTGTTAACGTAGAAATTTAAAGATAGAAAGGACTTCTTCGATTGAAGTTGAAGGAAGTAGCCTTCTACCCTAATTTTACTATAAACTTTATATTTCTTTAATTATTTTATAAATAAAGTTTTTATTAGGATTATAAATTATTTAATAATTGCCTTCGTTGATTAAATAGCTCTATTTTTTATTATTTTCAAAATATTTATTATTGAACGGTTTTCGAATACCATCCTTTCTCCTTTAATCGCGCTACCTTCTTTACCTAACGAAATTGTTTTAATTCTTATATTAGCCAACGCACTTATAAAATATTAGTGAATTTATAGTACGGGAGATTTAATTACCCGGGTTTTTAAGTCTTTAAATATTTTTATAACGTTAAGGGTATTAAATTTAAAGGTTCTATTATTTATTAATATAATACGTATAGTATTTCGAAATTTAAATAAAACGTTATATAAAAATTACGTAACTAAGGATTTAAGCCCGGCGAGCGTTTTATTATTAATATCTTCGATTTTAAAGAAAGAAGAGGCTGTTATAAATTAATAGTATTTATTATATATTATTAGATTAATTTCGTTTAGAATATTTATATAGCCGACCGGTAAATAGTTACGATCGTTCGAAGTTTATTCGGTATTGTCGATATAATTTATTATTAGTATAACGTTAAAATTAAATATATTAAATGCGATAACGAATTTAATAATTAATACGTTAGAAATTAATTTGCTATCCGCTTTATTATTTTCGAGCCTTTACTATTTGATATTTAAATTTAAAACGGCGGTACTAAATATTTAGGGGGTATAATTAAAAAAAAGTTGCGTATAATAATTAAGAGCGCGAACTTCCCTTATAACTTCTAATTTGAAATTATTTTAACTGTAATTTATTTTAGTAACCGATCGTTTAAGTACTTCTATAATTAGAAATTACTATACGAACGATTCTATACTTTTGTCGCCTATTGTAAGGGGGTATAAACCGAGCCTTATAAATTTAATTTTCATTATTTTTATGTTTATAGATATAATGTCTATACGATAATAATTATTGTTTAAAAGAAGGAGTAGAGATTTAAGAAGCTTTAATTAAAAGTATAGATTAGATTTTTTATTGGTTATTTTGCTTCCTTTATTTATTAAATTTGGAATTTTTAGATGAGTTGTATCGTTTATACTTATAATATATTATTTAACGAAAATTCGTTCTATTTAGGGAAATTAAAAGACTATACGACCGTAGAGAAATTAATTATTAATAAAATTACTAATTTCCTTAACCGAATCGATTAATTACTTTATCCTTTTACGTGATACTTCGAACTTTTTATTATTAGCTAAAATATAGAAGATAATAGTATTATTTTACTCCCTTTATTATTTTTCGATAACGAGCTTTAAGAAGATAGCGGTAAGATTGAACTAATAATTATAAAAGTATTAGAGCCTACCTTTTAAAATAAAATATTTATCGACTTTGTATTTATATACTTATTTTTATTTGCCTCGCCGCCTACTGCTCTTATTGCCGGTCTAATTATAGATTTACTAGAGTTTATATCCTTCCCGACGTTTGAATTATAGGAAGCTACCTTTAACGTTAGGAGACTCCTTTAATTAGTAGGATAGCGGTAGGGTAAGACTATTATTAAGGTCGAGATTAATTATTTAATTATAAAGGGTAGTAGGTTGGATTTTATTAAATAATAAAATTTCATTCTAATATTAAAAATTTATTGCGATTTCGAATATTATAACCTTGGTAATTTCTTTAAATAAGTAAAGGAAATATATTTTAATAGTTATAAAGAAATAAAGTTATAGGTCGAAATTAATAAGGACGCCCCTTATATTAAAGGTTGTTAAATCCTCGATTGTATATAAGTACACGTATATAAATTTAATAAGTACGGTCGATTCTAAAAGCTTAAAGTTCGCTTCGTCGTTAGAGGCGATTAATAATATAATTATAGTAAGGAAATATATACTGCTATTCTCGCTAGTTGGTTATTTCGATTTATTATTACTTAAATTATTCTATTTAATTTCGAATTTATTTAATACAACGTAGTTAATACCTTTATTAATACTTATTTCGATAAAGAAATTTATATACGTATACCGCTTAGGTATTGTAAGTACAGTATTATTTTTAGATTTTTTAAGGCCTTTTACCAGCTCTGATATATTCCCTTACTA